TTGCCAGGCACTGAGACTGGCCTCCAAGCAGCAGATCCCACGTTTCTGTCTCCTTGACTGAAGGGGGGGGAAGAGCATAAGCGATCCAGCTCAGTCCACAGCAAACAGAGTGTCAGAGAGCAGCGGCTGGAACACAACTTTTTGCACAAGTCTTAATTGGTTTGTCTAGGGTGAGACCTCGGAGTCTGTGTCTGGCGCCGAGAGGGCCACCGTTGCCCACCTGCAAGCCAGATCTGGGCAGGCAGAGGTCCCTTAGCCTGCCCACCTCGCTCACGGGCCTTGACTCTGCATTCCTGTAGCAGCAGCGCCACCTGGTGGTTATATATGGAGCCTGCCCTTCCTTTGCCTGCTGTCCAGAGGTGGACTTTCACCCTACCTGTGGGATTTGGAGTCAGTGACTTAGTGACATGAGATGCAGTTTCTCACCTGGGGATTAGGATAATTACAGTGCAATTTACATGAGATATATCCTGAGGCTTGGCCTCAAAGAGGCAGCAGGCCTTGAGCACCCAGGGGAAGATGGTTGTTACCATCGCATTCCGGTCTATTCCTGCTGGTGATCCCTTTCCAGGAGTACCCGGGGATGTTCCCAGAGCCAGCCTCTTCATCTAGAAGCTTCTATCCTTCCTGCAGCCTCTGGGCTTTGCACTCCCCTCCCTGGCCCAGCCTGACTCTTCAGCGTGTGTATATTTGGGTTTCGTCCATTTATTAATTTGTTCCCTTTGTGATAAGCATGTATATGCCCAGTGAACAGCACAGGGCCAGCCTCAGCCCTGTATAACAAGCGGTGTATCTAGAGAGGGCCTGTGGGACAATAGGCTTCCTGTTGAGACAGGCATCTAGGGTAGCAAAGCTCACGGTAGAGGAATGCCCCCTCTTCCCAAGGTCACTGTGGGGCATTCAGTGCTCCTCCTGGGAGGCCCCTCTGCTTCCAGGCTTGGAGACAAGACTCTTCAGTGGTAAGGGAAGGGTCAGATGCCTCACACACACACACACACACACACACACACACACACACACACACACACACACAC